GTAAAAATCTATTTTCTCAGTGCTGTCAGATGAACGTTGACAGTTGTTAACGGTAAGCTCAATGAACTCTTTTGTGATTTCAAGTCCTGAATCATCATTAAATAATTTAGGATCTACGTGTATTACAATAAAAAATATCACCCCATATCCGACGCTATTGTACAATACACATAATCGCCGCAGGAATGACGTTGAATTTTTTAAAACTAAATAACGCCTAGATACAATTCATTACTACTTAAACCTTGCTTGAACCTTACTTGAACTTTGTATAGCTCTTCTTTAAAGTAATAGCATACAAAGAAATTAAGTTACAGCATATATTACGTTGTAATTCTAGTAACGAAAATTATGTCCTTCGGTAAACGTTAACTCTTTCATTCACTCTTGACGAATAAGTCACATTAAATGAAGGTCATCCTATCGCCATACGAAAATTTTTACGAATGTATGGAATATTCCGGAGTGTAGACGTAACACTTACTTTCTTGAAAATCTTTTATTTTTTAGTCATAATATCTGATGTCTCATAAGATATTAACGAGCTTGAGTAATTCTAGTTTTGTGCAATGAAACTTTGGTAATACACCACTGTTCTGCATAATGTGATTCAATTCAGCACTACAGTACTGTTAATGATACCTTCATTCTTAGCTTCAAACTAGGCGTTCTTTAGTTACCGAAACAATATAGCAATCCTTAATTGAAAGATTATCAATCGATTTTAGTATGTATACTTTGATATAGAACTGGTCTTTAGTGTTCCATGGTATAAATGTATTGCATGTAATGAAACAGGAGTAGCATAATATTATTATTTTTTTAAGCTAAACAACATTCGCCGGCAAATATTGCAAATGCAAGAAAAACCGAATGGTCAATTCTTAAGTAACTCAAATGCATGTTTGTTATGATTTAGTAAAACGATTATACCTTTTAATATTGCACCCAAATTCATACGTTACGTTATAGCGAAGAGCTATCAGTGATAATTGTCGGAGCACCTACAACCGATCAGACTTTTATTTCCCAGAACTTATATCGTAACAATATTAAGCATAAAAATACTAATAATTATAAGGATTCGTGTTATCAAGGCACAGAAATGGTTATTAATTATTCTAAAACGACTTGAAGTAGATTAAAATCTACTACTGAATAGCATCATGAAGGTTTTATTTCACATTTATTGTTCTTTTTCCTACTAATTGTAAACTATGTGCCTTGTCACAAAATCTGTTTTACTAACTCTTCTTAATGCGCTTTATTGACATTAACAATGTGATCACGTTTATTCTTCAAAAATATCATAGACATTTTCAATCTCGAAAAATCCTGTAATCTTTATTCGGCAGCAAGGATACCATATTTATGTAAATCACAGATACAATGCCTTAAAGAATGTGCTATTGCTATATAAATCACGTTAAATCTAATACCTAACTTACTAACTGAATGATTCTAACGTCGAATTAACTACTTATTCTTTTAAAACTTTAACAGGGCAGTCATTCTGACAGTTTAAAAAATATTTGCAAATATTTTATGCCAAATTAGACGTAATGGTTTTTTGTTCTCAAAATGTATCCCTATAAATAAATGCAATGAGCGATAAAGAGAATATTAGATTTCGCGGACTTACTAGGATAAACAATTTGCTAAAATTTAATCTTCTGATTTTTTATAGTCGAACAACTTGTGATTGAGGACATAAGTACTATATGACTGCTATCATAAACAAGTGAGAAAGTAACTTTGATACTAAAATCTATTGTAGGTATAGTAAATACAGTACATGCTCTTCCATAATCTAGTTTTCGGCTTTCTTCCCATAACGTCTTCGATGGCGACGCCACCATTTCTGAAATATATCAATTTTAATTAACATTAGAGTACATCGCTTATTTTAATGTTACAAATCTAAGAATTTCCGGAACTCCGGTAAATAAATTACAATATACTGGGGTAAAAATATAACTTAAAGTCTAACGTTAAGATAGACTGATGTTTAGATTTATACTATAAACCAATAAACTAAATTTTAAGACTCTTTACCAGAATCTAAGTTTTCCTTTTACATAAAGGTAAAATTATAATTATAGCTAATATTACCTGTGCTTTATCACCATCTTTTCCATAATAATACCGATATCGACGACGACGGCGCCACCATTTCTATTTTCAAGCATTCAATATATTAGACACAATCGTAAGAAGTCTATTTCAGTAATTTTTACTTGCAATCTCATAATTGTTTATTTAATAAAAGTAAACTCGATCTTACATGGTTATTGTGGCAATTTTATTACAATATGCGCGATTGAACAAATTTAAATATCTAGTAATTAAGCTTAATAAAAATCGATATTTATAATCACGAGGTCATATACTGCTAATGGTTTATATTTGTTTTCGCTTGGAAAATAAAGTAATGTTACTCATTCCAGCAGAAACTAATCTTTTACCTGGGCCTTAATATTATCGCCGTTTTTGCCATAGTAAAATCTTCGACGACGACGACGCCACCATTTCTAAAATTTGTAAATGTATAATTTTCGTTTAATAGCTAATGGTTATCGAAACGGCTACAAGACTAATTTGTAAAAGTGATACAGATTGTAATTAATATGTCATGCTAATTACAACTGTAGGGCAATTTATTGTCGTACAGCATAATTTGTTAAAATGTGTTATGCATTCAAAAAGTACACTTGCCATATATTTTAAAAATTTAGTACAAGTAATGTAAATTACTGATCATTGGAAGTTAATTACTTGTGCTTTGTCGGCTTTCTTTCCAAAACGTCGACGACGCCACGACTTCTAAAATGCGATAAATAAACCATGTTAAAACTTTTCTGTAATTTGAAACTTTAATAGTATAATAAAGGAATTAACAATAACTGTAATAGTATCTACTAGCAGAGTCGTTGAGCGTATGGAGATAGATTAGATGTGTAGAATAGGGTATAATAGCGATTAGTATAGTTGATATTATTGAATGCCATAGCAAGTATCGTAAGTACTGATGAAAAATTGCGATTTCCGCTGATCCTCTAGAACAAAACGAGTACACTCTCCAATTTATGCTCGATTATCACTCACATAAACCTATTCAACTTCCCTTGAATCTAAATTTATTTTTATTTAGCCATCACCTACTTACAGTAAATATTTCATTTGCTTGTGTAAACTCGAAAATTAGCACTATCTCTTATTCTGTTTTTGTATCGCCTTTTAAATATTGTTTTTCTCGCCTATTTGTAAGTTGTTACTATCATGATACTGTAGGGTGATAAATGCTACACTAAGATTGTTTGGACCTTTTATAACTGCCACAAGTTAACTTTAAAACGTTAGTTGATATAACCCCCAGGAAGACGTAATACCTGAACTCCAGCATTGTCTTGTTCCTCTATAACATCTTCATCTGAATCTTCTCTATCTTGCAAGGCGGATTCTTCATCTTCTTCATCTGCTTCTTTTAACGCAGATTCATCTTCATCAGGAATGTCTTCTTTTAATTCATCAGTAAATTGTTCAACTTCGGCAGGAACTTCATCAGCTTTGACGGCTACTGCCAAACAAAGCAACGAAGCGATCAAAAGTAATTTGATATTCATCGAAAACCTAAACCAGTACAGAAATAGTTTTCTTGATATTATTATTTAGTCATGATCTAAGTACTGCATCGGCAAGAATTAAAACATTATCGTTTACTTCATTTAAATTTTAGGGTTAAATATGTTATAAAAAAATTACGGAAATTATAACTAATTTATCTAGTATAGCCACTTGTTGATTAAAATTTACCTTGTCCTTTTTAATCACTGCAGGAAAATATGAACGGTGAATGGGCTAAACTTTATATACCTGCGCTTCTAAGGTCTAATGCGAGAGAAAAACTAACTACCGGCAATGTTCTGATTATAATAGAACCTTAATGGACTCTTTGTAACTCAATGGAACCTGACATTTAGTATTCATTAGAACTTAGATGAATAAAGGTGTTGCACATCAATAAACTTGACAGTTAAAATGAAACAAAACGGGGCAGTCCTTGATCATTACTAATTATGTTTTGTCTAAATCAATAATAATCAAATATCCGCGGGCAGTATGAACTTCTCTGACGTCAGTTATGGCCTCTAACAATTTAATCCATTAAGTTGCAATAAATAATTCATTGATAATAACCGCAGCATTACATATCAAAGTACCACTGATAATTCAATCAACTGAAAAAACGAGTAGAGTAATATTTCTGGCAGCAATCTTGACGCCAATCTTAAACCTTATTATACTTCAGATATTAAACGAAACGTGATGATAACTATAAATCATAAATTCTATGGTTTTACTACACGCACAATATCCTAGACTATGCCCAATTAAACTAAAAACGTAAGTCATGAATGCAATAAAAATATCAAAGACAATTAGTGAACTCTTGTTGAATCAGTCGACTAGTAGTTCACATATTGTAGATTTTGCATCATACGAACGTTTTATTGTAATCACTAACAAACACCGCTGATGTAGGATCTATGTTTATAAATAAGCTATACAATCACTTTGTGTCAGTCTTTGCAGTAAATATGTGGATCTGCTAATTAACAAAATAATGTTAGTAATCATGGTTAGCACTAAAAGTACATTAGTGTAATAAATAAGCGAGCCTTAGTATCCCGATATTACAATTTGTTATTATTAACAAGTCAAGAAAAAGTTTCGGTCTTCTATAGCTATAAAACTTGAATCCTTAAGGGGACAATGAAGGGATAATAAAACAAATCTTCTTTTGTTGTTATTATCATTTAACCGCAATTTGAATAAATTCAAAGATTCTTAAAACTTTATGCTATTAAAACACTGATTTTATATGCCTTCTTCATCTCTAATTTGCAATCTATTTTTATAATATGATTACTAGAAACGCAGCTAATAGTTTTTGACTGTCTGATATTTGCATGGTTTTATATGCAGTACATTTCAAAATCGAAAAGTAATCTTCAGGAAACTTTTTTCTAACTATGTCTTTTCATACTGACATGTAATTATCGTATTCCTTATTAATTATAATAACTAGGTTCATCCCTTAAAGGGACAATAAATTTCAGACGGAAAACTCTATTATCTTCAGGCGTCCCATTAAATTAGTACTGCAGTAATCGTACGTTATCGGCAGCTATTCTTATAAACCAGTCGGATAAACTTCTATATACCGTAATATGTTTGTTCAAATATTATAGTTCGGTTTAGACACGTTGCTGATATAGGCCAATTATACTCAATGATTTAAAATTGCTTTGCATATTGACTTTTAAATGCATGATAATTCATAAAAAATCAGGTATAATCAACTACAGTCTCTGATTAAAATATAATTACAAAATTAAAAAGTCATCAATGACCTAATAAAATTAACAACAAGCTTCCGTTATTATAACAAAGTCATTAATATGACTCCAGGGAACAGTTTATATGCTTGACGACAGAATCTAAGACATTATCATTTGTAATTATATTTAAAGCAGGAAGCATTGTTATATTCCAATGAAAGTTTGATACATACATGCTATGTTTCCTATTATTTTCAATAATTCAACGGCGTCCGAGATTGCTAAACAAATTTTTTTGTTAATGATTTTATACATTGATTTGCATCCACATTATCTTTTGAGCTGAAAGGTCACATCTTAACAATAGTTTTATTGGATTGCGAGCTTCATTCATTCGTGTTACAGTTTAGTAAACATCATTAATTACTAGCCCCAAGGAAAAATCTAAAGTAAATGAATGTTTTTCTTTCTTCTACTTTGTTTAGTTTTAGTAAGAGCCAGATAAGCTACGTCTTAATTGGTCATAAACTAGTCGTATTAAATATAAAATGACGAAAGTCTAAAGTCACTCTTAGCTTATTATTTAAATTAAGGAAATATGATATAGCACAAATTATATTTGTGATAAAGTATTTTCGAAATAATAAACTGAATTAAGGTTTCTAGTACGTAAACTTCACTTTATCATATAAGTTAGGTTCTGTTTACTATAAAGAATATCTAGCTATAATTATAATCATATCATCAAAATTATTATAGTAAAATTCACAACTTATGCAACAATCAGTGACAAAATGATTATGAGTTAAAAACTAATTTTTCTTACAATATATTGTACCAGTAACAGATATAGGACAAAAAATCTAAACTTGCCCGAAAACTAAAAATGACACTACACCACTAATGTCTACAAACTACAGTAACTATTAGAATAGATTATTAGTATAGGTTACTATTATATCGCATTAGAATTTTTACGCTGTCAATCAGGTCTACCCATATCCGAAGCGAATAAATAAGCTGGCCAACTTACTTCACTACTAACAGCTTGCTAAAGTATAGATAACATAAAGATAAAATAAAATCATTAATGTTCGCTAGAATATTCTTAATTAATAAAATAGTGTAATTGCGCTCGCAAAACTGTTCTTGGAAATATGATTCGATTGCTAATTTCAGAAACTGTTGTAGTAATAGAGATTAGTTTTAAATTGTATTATTAATGGGAACTTGGAGTGGTATCTTTAAATTAATTTTTTTCGTACATTGTTGCGAGGAAGTATAGCTAGTGGTTAATTGTCCAACTAAATAGCGAGTAAAATGAATTAATAGGATTGAATCTCATATAAATCTATATTAGACTTAAAGTTACTATAGAGAATGTATAATTTGTACATGTTTTGAATATCACTTGTGTACGTGCTAACCTTGCTAAAGGTATAAAGAGCTTCATAATTAAATATCTAAAAGGAGGAATATGTACAATCGATGAAACTGTAGTGAAAGTGCTTATTTATTAAAGGTTTTTACTTAGAGTGAAGCGTTTCATAAGTACTTAGCTGACTAAGTTAGTTTAATTAGGTCAATGTGACTGAAGGCACTTAGTAGCAACCAAGTTAGAGCTAACTATACTTTCATATTTAGAAAGTTATCCTATCACAATTGTAGTTGTGACACGACGAAATTTTTAGTTATTTCTGTGATATGATTTCTTTAGGCGACTGAAATTTTTCTTTGGAAGATGTTAAATTAAGTTTAAAGATATTGCATCAAGTGCGATATTTACTATTTGCCTTCATGTCATTTCTTTTCAACACTGTCTTAGAAAGATCTGGTAAAACTTAGAAACATTCTACAACATATGTTCATAAACTTTATCAATAGACAAAAGCCTATTATTTTGTTTCCTTTGAAGTATATCGAAAATCACAATTAATGTTAGAGTAAATTAATGTATGATATTTAATTGCTACTGAAACTCATTTATCTCGGAAATAATATTTTTGAAACAATTTCTTAATTAATCACGAAGTGATCATAAAAACGAATCATTCTCTTAACCTCTTCAGATAGACATAATATTTTATTGTCCAAAGTACAATTAACACGCAAAATATAACGATTAGGAAAACTCTATACTAATCATCTTCGTAATGGCAGACCGTCGGTTACTAAGGATATTTTTCCATGAAGAAAACCTAGTGTTTACTCTTCGCATAAACTCAACAAGACAAATTTTCTAACTAAAAGAATCAAAATGGCGGATTCTGTCTTCTCAAAACATAGATTATTTACCATTCCTATATAATTAAACGCAAAATTAAGTATCAGTTAAATCAAGATTTACCTCTACTAGAGCAAATACATCACATGTTTAATGTGGTAAGTATCTAGATTACTTTACCACTCAAATATACATTTCGACGTCTCAGTATGTGGAAGCATGAGCTAAAGTTCGTTATTAAGCATTATCGATATAGAATGTTTTGTTACTATAACATCTTTTAAATACTACAATACACTTTCTTGGGATGAGCTAATTTAAAGATAATGAGTTCAAACAGTAAAGCTTGTAAATTATCAAAATAAACGTTGAGGTGTAATTAACGGTTGATAACGAACAAAGTTTTTAAAATAATAAATAGCTAATTGATAAGAGAAGCTCAGATTCAAGTTAAAGTTAAGAATAGACGATGACTAAGCTACAATTTAGCTATTAATTGTCCAGTAGAGACTTTGAATTACAAACTCCGCATGTATTCCAATATGAACATATAAAAATAACAATTTCTTATTTTCTACATCTAGGTGACATTTTCGTCTATAGGTTCATGATAATTATAATTTAAATCTTAATAAGATCTGGAAATAATTTTGTAGCTTACCATAGATTTACCAGGACTAGGGCGATTCGGTCGTCTACGGCGACGACGTCCCCAAAACTTAATATAGTAGATAAAAAAATGATTATATCCCAACATAGGACAAAGTAATTTTGCAAATTTAAAACTGAAAACTTACCTGTGATTTCCCTTCAGGTGCAATACCAGATAGTCGTAGTCGACGGCGACGACGCCGACCCCACAATTTCTACGCATAAACCATTTACAAATATTATTAATGGTGTAGATGTAAAATAACAAAAGACGTATTAGGATTTATTAAAAGATAAATATTAAGATTATAAGGATAGCTAAAATGCATTGCAAATCAAAAACGACGAATATATAAGCAATATAATAAAAGGAAAAAGTCTATCATAAGCTAAGGTCGTCACAAAATAATCTTAAACCCTTAGCAACACGTTACTAGCAGATGCATTTTATTATGGACACAAAGTATCGAAGACTTCTCTGACCTTATCTTCTGCACTTTTTATCTCAGAATCAAAAGTTTCTCGATCCATCAAAAATTGAACATCATCACCTCGATCTTCTTCTGGTTCAAATTCTTTTGCATTGCTTTCTTCCTCTTCTATTAACTCAGAGATATCTTTATCGGCGCTTACACTCGCACTTATCATAAATAAGGCACACGCTACTATCAGCAATCTGATTCTGAAATCCATGTTTCCGAAATAAAGCTAGTATAACTTAAATCTAGAGCAAGAAATATTGAAATTCGATCATTACTAATAACATTCAACTTTTAAATAAATTTATTGTAACATACTATTGGCAATAAATTTAAATTATCTTCGAAATTACAATTAACACTCTCTAATTTGGCTAATCTGCGATTAAAAATTATCTGAATATAGAATATGTTTCATCACTTTACGGTAGTACAGTTAATAGTGAATTCTTTAATACAATCGACATGTTTTCAAATTACCAGTTATGGTTGTTGAAAATTTAATAAGCCTTTACGACAATAATTTCTAAACAGTCTTATTTATACTTTAACCCTTTGGAGATAAACGCTTCGTATTATTCTAAGTATATTGTAGGAAAAGCAAACAATGCTTTTTCTATATCGTAACAATTAAAACAGAAAAGATAGCTTATACGAAATTCAGAAGCATTATTTTTGGGTGATCTGCAAGGGTTTTCTTGGTCGACTATATGAACAAAAAGAATCCTGACTTTTTTTGCTTTTGATGACCTGATGTCACTATACATTTCACTAAAAAATCACCGATAATGATAGGATCAATTATCTTAAGTGCGTCAGGGAAGAATATTTTCGTAACAATAACAAGTAAACTCTAACAGAAGTCGCTAACTATTCAAGCCCTTTTCATTAATTCCTTGTTTACTAAATTACCTAGTAAGACCTCCACAGCGAATGCGTTCGATTATCTTCCTTGATAAGATAGATTTTAAACAATAAGCTTGTGTTGTTATGTGTAAACAAGTTAGAAAACGTATTTAAGCAGCTACGCTTTTCTGTCATTGTTGTTTTTAGCCCTTCTTTTTAAGATCTGCTGTTATAGGAAGTTTTCCTTGTCTATCAGAGGTTGTTATTCTATTAATATCTGAATCGAGAATTAGTAATAAATCTGTTATTATAAAATTACTTCTGTGATTTACACTTTTATTACAGTCAGTAGAACAGGTTTTGTTACTAAGCTGTTTGATGCTATTAAATTTTAACATTACGGTGGAGAAAATACTACTATGTAAAAATTTTAAGAGCCAGTAAACAAATTTAACTAGGTCAATTATTAAAAACTTAAAAATTTACTTGAGCAAAGGCAACAAATCGAATGTCTCGCTATAGAAGCTAATACTACGAGTCTACTGTCTGATTTGTCTTTCCGACATCTAGCTATAATACCACTCTAACTGTGGATGATCACCTATCGGCAAGGAGAGCAGTTGTTGAAATTTGGTTTACTAATCGTCTGCCGTTGGGAATTATTGGTACTCCTATTATATTAGAGCGGCAGTTCACGATACATTATTAATCAACGTGCGATGATGCTCAAACATTAAAATTACCTATATTTTACTAATGGGTATTCAGACGTTATTCGACTGCATACTTATGATCAGTGCTATTTCCAATCCTACAGTATCTAGTCACACAAGGGAATTTTAGCCCTTAACGTATGCTACTCCTTATTCTAGTTGATTTTTAATATGGTTCTTGCGAATGCAAGACCCCAAGCTACGTATGATCGTCATCCATTACCTTGGGCCAATCATAGGTGATTTACTGAAACGTGCTGGTGCTGCTTATCGAGGCACCATGCAGTCCCACTTAACTGTACGACTAACATCCCTAGCACTATCCACTAATAATCTGCTCGGCTTATAACACCTAATAGAGTGCCTCTAACTCCGCCAATCTACTATCTTATTTACCCGGGGCTTAACGTAATCTAGTTTTCCTACAACACTATATATATCTTCGGATATAATCAGTGATTTAAATTGCAGCCTGATGACTGACTAAGACAAGCTCTTCCTTACTCGAGAATTAGATTGAATGAAAACCTCCATAACGTCAGTTGTTACAGAATATATATGCATTGACCATGCGTATAATATATAACCAATATCAACATATTAGCATTATTTAGCACAATAGCATTTCAGTTTTATAAGCCAGAGCCAATTTAAGACGTACCGTAGATAGTACACGAGTTACAGAATATCTAAGGTACTAGTATGCCAGTACAATATATAACAACGCATAACAAAATCACGACTACCATAATACTACTAGTCTCTCACAGATAAAACTGAGCCCTAATTTTATTGAAAAATGAGTTCCTTCTTAGAAAATCCATATAAATATTAGTTACTGATAACTACAGCACTACATTAAGTTCACATTTTCTGGAGTAATGTCGTTAATTAGTAAATGAAAAGGGAAATATGAAAGTCCCAAAAACTTCCCGCTCTGTAAACTAGAGATTCTATTATTAACCACAATTACATGAATGCTTTATATCCTGAACATGATTGCAAAGTAACGACGTTATCTCGTTATATTTTGCTAACCATGAATATTAAGATATAGCAAAACAGAACAGCTTTTATGGCTTATTTCTATGTTTACATGCAAATTTCCTCAGTAACGTATTTGAAATAAAGACTTTCTTGAGTCAGCAATATTCGTTTTCAGAATGAAGGAATGCATGTAAATAGATAGCTAATTAAAGGCTGACATAAAGAGCTATAGTCATCAAATAATTTAAATAAGCCCCATCTGCTAATGCTTTTTACTTTCAGGTCTCATGTTGAATCAAATTACATTAGTACAGTATTACTAAATTTCACTAAATATCAACTACCAAGAGCAAAATTCACTAGATATAAATAGAAAGAGCATCTAGAATATCTAAATTCAGATTTACTTTCTGTAACTGAACTTTGTTGTTCGCTTCTCTTTCATTTAAAGGTGCCGCAAAAAGTCTGTAGAAAACTTTAGACAAACTATGCCTTTAGCAAGTGTTTGATCAAGACTAGTAAATTTATCTTAAACAAAATGTATTGGCAACTAATAATAATGATATCATCATTTAAGATCACGAAACGGAAGTACAGAATTAAATAACTATATTAATGAATTGATTTGAATTAAAATTTCCAAGCAGTACTACTAGCTAATATCTATAGTACTTTTTCTACGCCCTTAGGATAGGTAATCGTAATAGGTAAACTGTAATCTAGATCAAAGCTCTTAAAAATGCTGATATCTGTAATACTGAATTTTATTCGATCTATTACCGTAGCATATAGCATTCCGATCACATAGAGCATAATATGCTTAATCTATGTTAATTTAAACTTCAGTCCATTCACCTACACAATCTTTTTGACAAAAAAATTTATCCCGATTACAATGAATACATTCAACCAATATCCAATTCCTGAATAATCATGACTTGTCTTAATTTTAAATAAGAAGTATTTTATAGAATTAAAAAATACTAGAATTACTTAAATATCTAAATGCAATAAAACATAAAAATACCGTTAATTTCATGAATATCAGATATGGTAGAAATGTTATTTTTATAATATTAAAGATATGGACCATTTACTCCCAATAAATATAATCTATGAGATTACAATGCCTAAGGACTTTTAATTATTACTGTCGTGACATTAATTGATTTCACTCCACTGAACAATATTTGAATAAAAAATATCCTATTACTTCAACATAGCTTATGCTGTATAATAAATATCATATCGATAGCAGTTAATTATTTTTAATTTTTTCAAATTTAAAGCATCATAATGTCATTAAATTTGATATTGTGATACCTATAATTAAATTTAAAAATGGCAGGTGTTCTAAGTGTAAACAATCTCAATTAAGTTATTATGGCGGTAATTGGCTTCAAATCTTTAACTTAAACTCTAGTTGTATTTAAAAACGTTGCAAGAGAACGAGAACATAATTTAAATGCATATAATGTTTCGTGTACCGTAGCATTTTTAATTGCAAACTGCATTAAAGTAAGCACCCAAAAATAAACTCAAACTTGGAATATTTTCACAAATTGCAGAATGGCGGATAAAAATTTAGTGCAAGTTAACAACACTGCTACAAGGCTCCCTTTAAATCTAACGCAATTAATCACTGGATCGGTAGTTACTCCCGCTATTTTAGGCTCGATTCATATATTTGGAATTATCATCAATATTCAATTGATTATTCCTATCTATAGAACAAAGAAGTTTCATACACCGTCGTATATTTTATCGGTAAATATGGCAATCTCAGATATCATGATCTTAATTTTCGCATTTATTTACACCATATTTAATGCGATTCAATTAAGAAATGCTAGTTTTAATTTATCTAGCTTCCAAATTATTTGTCAAGGAAATTTATACGGCTTTGTAGCATCACTTACAATATCCTCTTTATCATTTAGGACCATAAGTATTGATAGACATTTGACAATTACTGGAAAGAAAAGTTCGGGCTCGCCATTTCAAAAAGTAAAAATATTATCTGCGACTATAGCTGTCTTTTGGATCATTGGACTTTGCTTTAGTATTCCTGTTATTTCTATGATTCAATCTAGTAAAGAAATTTACTTCTTATGCAGTTTCTAAAATATTAATAATGTTTCTCAAGCAGCTGCAATTGCTCTATATATTCATAACATAATATCATTTCCTATTCCATTAGTAATTGCAATATATTGTTACTATCATGTCATTAAACGAATAAATTCTTCAACGATGCTTCAGCATACTAATGCACAAGGCGAGTCAAATCATCATCCTCAAATCCGAGCTACCAAAATGATGATCCTGGCTACCATAATATACATGTTATGTACGCTACCATTTTATATTCTATCTTTATTGCTTGGCACATCAAATATACCAATCCTGGAGGTAGCCTCTAGAAATTCACTTGTTATAGCCTTCCTTATGACAATAAATATACTCGTAACATCGACATCTTTCCAAAACCCTCTTCTATTTTTCGTTTACAATCGTAGCTTTCGTCAACATTTCTTACGGATTTGCAAGAGACCTTAATACTGATTTGTGATTTATTTTTCACAAATTTCTTGATTGTTTAAATGCAATATGATAGTATTATATTACGTTAGTAGATAGGAAAATGCACGTTTTGGTATGTATTAAA